CCCTCCAATAACCTCTAACACATGGCCAGAAATACCACAACCTTTTGCTTTCACAGACCAAAGAACTCCGCAGCACATTTTACTTTTTCTGGTGTTAGCAGGAGAAACAGGACTCGTTCTGCAGTCTCACATTTCTCCAGAAACACTGGCCAGCGCGATGTTGGGCTCCTTCCATACGCAAATCTGACTCTTTCTGAAAGAACCTGGAGAGACAGGTGCTCATATCAAATCCCTTCTGAGAGCCGAGAATGTGAGAGTGGAGGGGAACCAGTTCCTGAAGGAGGGAAAATAAACCGAGGCAGGAAGGGAACCCATGGGCCCGTGTGGGCCCCTCGCAGTTTTCCTTGGAGACCTTGTCCAGAGGCAGAAGGATCTTCACCTGCAAGAACCCTGTTATCCCCTCCCTCCACTCGCTTTCAGCTGGATCAGCGCCTGCCTGTATGTTTGACTGCATACAATTCTCTACACTGGCTCCCGCCTTATTCACTCTCCTCTATTTTTTTTTTTTTTGTATCCTCACCCGAGGTCATTCATCCTCAGATAGAGCAGGAGGGAGAGAGGGAGGAAGAGAGAGAGAGAAATATTGATATGAGAGAGATACATCGACTGTTTGCCAGCCACCCGCATGACCCCAACAGGGGCTGGGGACAAACCACAACCGAGGTACATGCCCTAGTGGGAACCGAACCCGGGCCTCTCTGGTCCGCAGGCCAACGCTGTAACCGCTGAGCCAAACCGGCCAGGGACACTCTCCTCTATTTTTATCCTTACCTCTTTCACCTTAGGGTATAGGTCTTCCAAAAAACTGGTCAATGGAGGAAATCCCAACTATTTGCTCATTAATTTACCATGCATTTACAGAGCATGTACTTTAAAAATCACTACAGGTTTAAACTTCATTCCATTCATTGAAGAGGTAATACCATTTTTTAAAATGGAATGTATTCGGGTGACATTGGTTAATAAAATTATATAGGTTTCAGGTGTACAATTCTACAATACATCATCTGTGTATTGTACTGTGTGTTCATCAGCCCAAGTAAGAGATATCATTTACATCTCATTTGAAAAGACTTCACTTCAACTAAGTTATCATTTTTTCCATGTGAAGCTGTTGGTGTGTTATCAGGCGGTGCCTAGTTATCATTTTTTTCAATGTGAAGCTGTTGGTGTGTTATCAGACAATGCTTAGTTATCATTTTTTTCCATGTGAAGCTGTGGTGTGTTATCAGGCGGTGCCTAGTACAGTGCTCTGGGTCACGAGTCTACAGAGGGCCAGTGCACCGGCCCTGCCGCCTGGCGAAAGGTCTGCCACGCAGCCCTCGCGATGAGCACTCCTCCCTCGGTGAGTGCACAGCTCATTTTACCCTGTGTGCTCAACCAGCACCAATGTCTCAGTCCTAAAGTTGGAGCAGCATAGCGTTTCCCTGAGATTTAGATGTGCTTACTTTTTCACCTTTTAAAAAACATTTTAAGCTTATCAATACAGCTAAAAAGACATTGTTTCTCCTCCCATTATGTTTTCTAGATCCTAAAGCTGAATGTTTCTAGAGCTCCAGGTCTTCACAAGGCCCATCCCAGACCCATTATGTACAGGAATAAAAAGTACATCATCACTTCTTGGCCTTTTGGCTAAGATCAAGTGTAGGAATAAAAACTACACAGACCCTAGCCAGTTTGGCTCAGCGATTAACTGCCAACCCGTGAACCAAAGGGTCACAGCTTCGATTCCTGGTGAAGGTTTGATCCCCAGCCCTGGTTGGGGTCATGCGGGAGGCAGCCAGTCAATGTGTCTCTTTCATGTCGATGTTTCTCTCTCTCTCTCTCCCTCCCTTCCTTCCATTCTATCTAAAAGTCAATGAATAGCCCCGGCCGGTTTGGCTCAGCAGTTAGAGCGTCGGCCTGCGTTCCAGAGAGACCCGGGTTCGGTTCCCTCTGGGGGCATGTACCTTGGTTGCAGTTTGTTCCTGGCCCTGGTTGGGTCGTGCGGGAGGCAGCCACTCGATGTGTCCCTTTCACCTTCATTCCCACCTTCATTCCAAATACATAAAAGAAGCTGCAAACTGTCAACTTCTAAGAAGCGTTTTTCTTAGTCTGATGAGATCTTGCTCTCTCTATTTATAGGCATAACCTCTATTTGACCAGATAAACTCATAAAAATTTTCTACAGGTTTGGACATTTCTTACTTCCTCGATAGCTGTCACTCCAGTTCCCAGAGGGCCTGCTGTTGCCTCTCTGGTACTCTCATGTTGACACCATTGGGCTGGGTTTTCACTTGGTTTCCTTGTTTAGGCTTCTAGTTTCCTGTCGAGATCAGAGGCTGTAGTGCTGTGTGCCGGGGATTGGTTCCTTTAGCCACCTCTCACTAGTTTTGTGTGATCCTGGTGAGGCTACCAAAGTTGACCACGTCTCCCCCTTAACCCTCAGATAAGAAAGTGTTAGGAGGCCCTGCCAGGTAGCTCAGTTGGTTAGAGTGCCATTCCAATACAGCACGGTTTCGGGTTCGAACTCCAGTCAGGGCACATACAAGAAGCAACCAATAGAAAGAAGGGGTTGGGTGGAGGTGGAAGAATGCATAGAGGAGATAAATGGTGATGGGGACAAAAATAAAAATGGATAAATAACGTTCCTCAAAAAAAAAAAAAAAAAAGAAGCAGCAACCAATGAATACATAAGTGTAACAACAAATTGATGTTTCTATCTCTTTTTCTCTCTCAAAAAATTCAATCAGCCTTGGCTGGTTTGGCTCAGCAGTTAGAGCACTGGCTCTCAAAACAAAGCGTTGTGGGTTCAATTCCTGGCACTGGTCAGAGTCGTGCAGGAGGCAACCAATTGATGTCTCTCTCTCTCTCACATCGATGTTTCTCTCTCTCTCTCTCTCTGCCCCTCCCTCCTTTCTACTCTCTCTAAGAAAAGCAATGTAAAAAGATCCTCAGGTGAGCCTGGCCAGTGTGGCTCAGTGGTTGATCATCGACCCATGCACCAAGAGGTCGTCGGTTTAATTCCCAGTCAGGGCACATGCCCAGGTAGTGTGCCCAGTCCCCAGTGGTGGGCATGCAGAAGGTGGCCAATCAATATTTCCTCTCATCACCGTTTCTATCTTTCTCTCCCCCTCCTTTTCTCTCTCTCTAAAAATCAATAAAGAAAAAAAATTTAAAAAGATAAAAAGATCTTCAGGTAAGGAGTAAAAAATAAAGTGTGAGTATGTGACCTAGCCTGGCCAGTCAGAGGATGCTGTCCTCTCTGTTTGTGGTGGCTGGTTCAGACCAATCAGAGCCTTTCTTAGACTTTTTTTTAAAACTAAGGTTACCTGGAAAAAATGGTCTGTGTCCATTAGGACTGCTAAGCTTGGAGAAAGTAAGACAGGGACAGCTAACAGCCATCTTGCCCTTGGCAACGTAGCCTGCATGCAGGGTAAAGCCAACCAGAGACAAGAAAAGTTCAGGGATCCTGTTTGGATTGGATTATTGCTTCCAACTTTTCACTGTCTCTGAAATTATGTATGTGGAGAGATCTATCTATATATTTATCTATCATCTATTATCTAGCTAACCTACTTGAATCCTATTCTGGAGTTGAAATCGTGAAGACAGGAAAATCTGAAAATGTGGATCAATTTTGTTAGATTCTAGAAATGGGAGAGTGGAGAGCAAACATAGTGAGTGTCCCTCCATGGAGCAGGTGCATGGCTCCAATAAAATTCTTATCTTAGCAGGGACTATTTATATAACATAGATGACATTGGACCAAAATTATAGATTGCTCTTCTTTAAAAGCCCAGCCAGTGTGGCTCAGTGGTTGAGCATCGACCCATGCACCAAGAGGCCAGTTTGATTCCCGGTCAGGACACATGCCCAGGTTGTGGGCCTGATCCCCAGTGTGGGGCATGCAGGAGGCGGCCAATCAATGTTCTCTCTCATTGATGTTTCTATCTCTCTCTCCCTCTCCCTTTCTCTCTCTCTCAAATCAATAAAGAAAAACATTTTTAAAAAATATGACAACAATCGCTTTTTGGCCTTTTGGATAAAATCAAGTGTAGTATTGTCGTAACCCAGGAGAGTCATCCTCACTCAGACATCAAGTAATTTTGAATATTAGGAGCTTTATTACCTGCGCAGGGACTGCAGCCAACCTACACAGAGGAGAACTGCAGCCCCGAGCTCAGGGGGAGGGTTGCTTATATAGGACAGGGGTCACTCAAGAGTTTAGCAGAGCAAGCAAGCTACGTGTACAGAAGCAGATATCAGCAGTTAGTAACTGCTGTTGTTTATTTCACAAGTTGTTTATTCTATATTTCTTAACATTTACTAGACCCTAGCCTTGAATGTCTCATTGCCCCGTCTGGCATCTCCTGATCAGTTAAGCTCATGGTCAATACCCTTGTGGTCATGGCTGATGCATACCTTCCTCTTCAAGAATTTTTGCAAAAACAACTCGGGTTCAAGGAACCCAGGAGAGGTTCCTTCTTCTAGCAGATGGAGAATTACTGGGTTATAACATTCCCCACTGGTTTTATGTACAGATCAAATCTTTGATCTAATGGCAACCTTTGGTAATGAGAGGCCAGGACTAATAATTTGACAGATTGGACCCTCTCTCTTATGAAAGTTGTTAATTTGTTTATCATTATAGGTCCACAGAAATAGTCCTAGAAATAGGAGTATGAGGGGGCCTGCTAGAGCAGAGAGAAGAGTAGTGAGCCAGGGGGACCAGTTACAAAGGCCTTCGAACTCGCTACTAGAGGCCTCTTCGCTTCTGGCCTGTTCTGCGAGGCGCTTCCTAAGAACCTGAATATTCCCTCTGATGACTCCTATCTATTGGTATAAAAACAGCAAGGTTCCCTTAGTGCTCTAAATGCTGTAAGGTGTCAGCGAGATAACTAGAGACGCACAGCGGAATTGTAAAGGAGCACTTTATTACTTGGGCGGGCTGGGGGGGGGGGCATTCCCCAAATCCTCAGCAACCTGCCTTCTTTGTTGCCTGCTTTTAAAGGCACAAACTGTAGAAAAAAAACTACATTCTCTTGGCGCCGCTTTTGGCACCGTTAAGAGGGGGCTGATACAGAGAAGGGGGAGAGAGGAGCTTGTTTTGTCAGGGCAGCTATTAATCTCGTTTTTCTCATGGTTCCTCTGAGTTCCCCAAGGCCATTATTAACCCCTTATCTTTATATTTTTCTTTGGGTTTCTCAAGGCCCTTATGTTTACAAAGAAAGTCTGCTAGGGTGTGTACGTGTAGTAACTGAGGGTCAGAATGGAGTTATTACATCCCCTTTGTGGTGACATCTCTTAAAATTTCTTCCAATATCCTATTTCTAAGTTCCCAGTTCTACTGGAGTACAGATCTATAAAGATTCCCCTGTACAGTTATAATTAGAAGAATTAGAGTCCTGATAAATGCAAGAGTCTCATTCTTAAGGATCTGGAGAGGCCTGCACTGTCCATTCCGCTTTTTCCGCCTTCAGCCAGGAATGGTGCAGCCAGACCAGGATGCCGTTGACCTTGACAGCCGTTGGTGCGGGCAGGATGACAGTGTATGGTCCCTTCCAGGCCAGACTTAGTCTCTGGGTGGTGAATTTCTTTACCTATACCGAATCCCTGAGCTGGAACGGGTGCACAGGGTTTGAGGTGGGCACAGGCAGGGCATCGCAGATGTGTTTATGCATGGCCTTCTGGGCAGACTGCAGGGCCTGTAAGAACTGTAAGAGGGCGAGGGGGAGCAGAGTGGTCCAGTTTTCACCGGTTTCTAAAGTAAATTTGGTTAAGGTTTCCTTTAAGGTAACCCCTTAAAGCTATTCTGTGATATCTTTGCTATTAAGGTGGAGCCATTGTCTGATCTAAGGGTCAGGAGTAGCCTAAACCTGTTACTCTCTTTATTACATCCTAGACTGTTATTGTATTACTAGGGGCAAGCTCTCCCCTCTCAGTGTCCTATCTTCTTCCCTTCTTGGAGTATTCTTCCAATGTCCTGTCTTCCTGTAATATGTATGTCCCTTTCTTTTATCTTTCCTTATCTTTTTATTTCCTCTGAATAATCCTTCTCTTTTTATTTCTTTCCTGTCTATAACTTACACAGACCCTCTGCGACTTACACAATCCTTCTTCAACTTACACAGACCCTCTGCGACTTTCTTAGTCCCTCCCCTGACATGAACCTGAGAGCTTGCTTAATCTATCTACTGTCTGCACATCCCCTAGCTTTTCTCCTCCTCTCCCTACTTAGACCTACACATCCCTGCTTCCTTCTGCCTTCTCCTTTTCCCTGTGACCTTATTGGACATTGCCTGCCTCTCAGGAGTTCAGTAAGCTTGGCGTAACCTAAGTGGGTAGTCTGGTGCAGCTGGTTGACCAAAGTCCGACCTAGAGCCTCTGGGATTAATAACCTCCCATCAGGCAGTGTCTACTATCCGTTGCTTTTCTTCATGGCTTGTTTTCTGCTTGGCTAAGTCATTTTCTGACCTAGTGTAAGTAGGAGTCAGAGGCAAACTTGTGTTTGGCAAGGTGACTGGTATCTGGATAGGTCCCCACTGGTTTTAGGGCCATCTGTCGAGCTTCCTTATTTGCACCACGGTTTCCTCTTGCCCCATCAGAGAGCCTGGATTAGGGCTATGAGTTCAGCCCCTTGGACTGAAGTTCCTCTGTTTAATGACTGAGACCAAATGATACGGTCCAGAGTTACTACTGCTGTCCCAGCATACCTGATATCTTCCTGGACATAGCTGCTCCCGTCCGTGAACAATACCTCATCTGATGATGGCAGTGGGTCATCCTTGAGGTCTGGGCGGCAGTCTGCAGTGCCGATTTCCCCCAGGCCGTCCTGCAGAGGTTTCTCCGGGTCATCATCTGGAGGCAGGCTGGCAGGATTGATGGCAATATCCTGGGGAACTTGATGCGAGGGCTGGCCTGGAGTGGCAGTGGCCAGCAATTGAATGATCTCTGGAGGAGATCATGTCTGAGTAGGGGATATGGGCATTCCGGCAGGAACAGAAACAAATGAGTCACAGTATTTTCCCCAAGGTCCATAGTCCTCTTTGAAGTCTAGGGGTAGGTTAGGGTCTCATTGGCTCAGTCAGGACTGAGTCTGCTGCACCAGTATCTACCAAGAAACTAACTAGTTTGTTCCCTATTGTCTTGTATTATTCTGGGCTCCGGAGGGCTCAGCTGAAGGAGCCCTAGCCCTGTCATTTTCCTAAATTAAGGACGGCTTTTCATTTTGTTCCTCTACACCTGACTTTGCCCTTGTCTTTTCTATCTCTAACTGGGACCTATGCCTGCTATCCTGACCCTTCCTCATGTTTCCCTTCCTAGGGTGACCCTATTCTGTGTGCCCTGTTTCCCTTAAATCTGCTATTACTACCTTTGCTAATTCAGCCAGTTGGGCCAATAGGCCTAACAGGAGAACACGGTGAAAAGTGTCTAAGGAAGCCCTTCCCCCAACAGTACCACAGTCAGAGGAATGGGAACATTTCCCCTGACCCCAGGTTTACAAAAGGATGCAGGAAAGGGGGGCAACATCCTAACACATGTTTATGCGGGGCAGAGTGTTTTTTAACTCTCCAAGAGCACTTTGTACCCGTGCCTGGGATCCCTATATTTAACTCCCTAAAGTTCAGAGAAGCCTATTGGAAACTAGTTGCTACTATACCCGCTGCGGAGGAGCAGCCCAGGCTGGCATGGAAAGAATATGCCCCTTTCTGCAGCTGGACCAGGCTGGCACTTCAATGGTTAAACACTTTGCCTGTGAGAATGTCAATAAGCCTTGTAGAGAGGCATTGAGACCTCACTACAAGGAAGCCAGTACATCTGAATGTATCCATATCTATTCAGACATTGGGTTAGATCATTACCAGATCCAAATTCATCTTCTAGCTTTTCTGTAATAAGAACCCAAAATAGGCAAACTCAGGTTCGAGGTGCTTCCTTTCATTTGAACCTCTGGATACTGACATTTCTTACTATAATTGGGTTTGTCAGTAGTTATGTCAATCCAAATATCAATATATGGCATTTGATCCAGGTGACCAGGGCTCCTGTATATTTTCTACTGGACTGTAAAAGCCAATTGCAAATTGAAACTACCTTCAGGTGGCCAATTAACCCCTTAGGCAGGCTATTCAAGTTCACAGAGTGTTCTCAGGAAACCAGGATCTCAGGCTTTTTCATAGTCACAGGAGCGCTTAAAGAAATCAGAAAAGTTAGCAAGCACACATTTCAGGGGAGTCTGGGGGGAAGAATTTCCTTGTCCCATCCTACCGAAAGCAAAACAGTTAGAGCAGCAAGAACACGGAACACAAATAGACAGACAACTGCGGTCAAGACACAAAATACTAATTTCAGAACAGACGCACCTGAAAGTGCCAGATGGAAACCCACTGGTTTCCTGCACCCGAAAGTGCCAGATGCACCCGAAAGTGCCAGATGCACCCGAAAGTGCCAGATTAAAACAGACTGGTACCAATTTCAGAACCGATGGAAACCCACCGGTTTCCCAGGTCAGGAGTCGGCGTCCCGACCCTGAGGGGGAAGTGCGGTTGAGCGGCGTCCCGCCCGCAACAATCCCAGAACGCTCCGGAGCTACCGAAACAGACGGAAGGGAAATCCCTTACCCAGATCCTCGAGGCCGAAGTCCTAGTCCGAATTAGCTGAATCGAAAGCCAGAACGAATGTAGGTGCGGAGGGCAAGGAGGCAGCCCTCTGCGTAGTCTGAGGAGGTCGACCCCACAGAAAAGGGGGACCTTGCGGTTGATCTCACTGGGGCCTCCAAATGTTGTAACCCAGGAGAATCAACCTCACTCGGACACAAAGTAATTTCGAATATTAGGAGTTTTATTACCTGCGCAGGGACTGCAGCCAACCTACACAGAGGAGAACTGCAGCCCCGAGCTCAGGGGGAGGGTTGCTTATATAGGACAGGGGTTACTCAAGAGTTTAGCAGAGCAAGCAAGCTACGTGTACAGAAGCATATATCAGCAGTTAGTAACTGCACAAGTTGTTTATTTTATATTTCTTAACATTTACTAGACCCTAGCCTTGAATGTCTCATCGCCCCGTCTGGCATCTCCTGATTAGTTAAGCTCATGGTCAATACCCTTGTGGTCATGGCTGATGCATACCTTCCTCTTCAAGAATTTTTGCAAAAACAACTCGGGCTCAAGGAACCCAGGAGAGGTTCCTTCTTCTAGCAGATGGAGAATTACTAGGTTATAACAGTATCTGTTCTCATCAGCTTAATAAAAATATGAAAACAGCCCTGGCCAGTTCGCTCAGTGGTTAGAGCATCAGCCCACAGACCAGAGAGACCCAGGTTTGGTTCCTACTAAGGGCATGTACCTCGGTTGCAGTTTGTCCCCGCCCTTGTGGGGGTCGTGGGGGTAGCAACCAGTCTATGTATCTCTCTCACATCGATGTTTCTCTCTCTCTTTCTTCCTCTCTCTCTCCATCTCGCTCTATGCAAAAAAAAAAATATGTTCTCGGGTGAGGATAAAAAAAATGACAACATACACATACTACAGTATTTATGTATGAATAATATGATATCTGAGACACATTTCAAAATAATCTGGGAGGGGTGAAAGTGGGTAAGGGTGTAGGTGAAATTAGATTGGAGAGGTCCTGGACCCCCAGCTCACCCTGCAGCAGACTAGCTGTGTCAATTTTTAAAAGTCACTTACTGGGGAGGGGGTGCTGATCAGTGGAGGAAAAAAGGGGGGAAATCTGTAATATTTTCAACAACAAAGATTTTTAAAAAGTCACTTCCCTCTTCTGGGCCTCAGTTTCTTTCTCTCTAAAATGATCAAGGTAGACTAGATGATATTTAAGATCTCTTCCTGCTTTGACATGGTAAGATATATCATACATCTTTTCTGTTGATGTTTGTTTTTATTGAGATTTTTTTTATTTTTCTTTTATTTTAATGATATTTGTTTTTTGAGATATAATTCATATACCATACATAAATCACCATTTTAAAGTGTCCATTTCAGTGGTTCTTAGTATAGTCACAAGGTTGTACACCCATCATCACCATCTAATTCTAGAACATGTTCATTTTACTCCCCAAAGGAATCCCATACCCTTTAGCAGTCATTCTCTATTCTTTTCTTCCCCAGTCTCTGGCAACCACTAGTCTTTTTGTTGCTGTTGTTGTTAATCCTCTCCCAAGGATATTTTCCCATTGACTTTTAGATAGAGTGGAAGGGAGGGAGGGAGAGAGAGAGAAACACTGATGTGTCAGTTGGTTGCCTCCCGCATGATGGGGGCCAGGAATTGAACCTGCAACCCAGGCACATGCCCCTGACTGGGAATTGAACTCTTGACCATTTGGTCCTCAGGCTGACACTCTAACCGCTAAGCCATACTGGCTAGGGCAGGCAACCACTGATCTACTTTCTGTCTCTATGGATTTACTTGTTCTGGACATTTCATATAAATGAAATCATAGTATATGCAGCTGTTTACATCTGGCTTCTTTCACTTAGCAGAATGTTTTCTAAGTTCCCTCATGTTGTAGCATTTATTAATACCTCATTCCTTTTTATGGCCAAATAAGATTCCATTTTATTAATATCCCATTTTGTTTACCCACTTATCAATTGATAAATATTTGAGTTCTTTATACTTTTTGGGTCTTACAAATAATTCTACAATGAACACTCATATATATGTTTTTGTGTGAACATACTAATTCTCTTTGGTTTAAACCTAGAAATATTGGTGGGTTATATGGCAATGCCATATTAATTTTTTGAGAAACTGCCAGACTGTTCTCCACAGTGGCTATGTGATTTTAGATTACTACCAGCAGTGCATGAGGGTTTCAATTTTTCCACATCCTCACTAACACTTGCTATTTTATGTTTTGTTTTGTTTTTAAATTATAGTCATTGTAGTGGGTGTAAATTTGTATCTCCTTATGTTTTTTGTTTTAAAAATATTTTTTTTCTTTATTGATTTTTAGAGAGAGAAGAAGGAAGAAGGGGAGAAAAATAGAAACAGGGAGAGAGAGAGATAGAAACATCAATGAGAGAGAACATTGATTGGCTGCCTCCTGCATGCCCCCCACTGGGGACTGGGCACACAACCTGGGCATGTGCCCTGATCGGAAATCAAACCAGCAACCTCTTGGTGCATCAGTTGACACTCAACCACTGAGTCACACTGGCTGGGCTCTCACTGTTGTTGTTTTTGTTTTTAATCCTCACCTGAGGATATTTTTTCATTTATCTTCAGATAGAGTGGTAGGGGTCGAGAGAGAGAGAGAGAGAGAGAGAGAGAGAGAGAGAGAGAGAGAAACATCAATGTGAGAGAGACACATCAATTGGTTGCCTCCTGTATAACCCTGATCAGGGCTGGGGATTGAACCACAACCAAGGTATGTGCCCTTGACCGGAATTGAACCCGAGACTCTTTGGTTAGAGCAGGCCAACCGCTGAGCCAAACCAGCCAGGGCTCATTGTTGTTTTGACTTGCAATTCCTTAATGACTAATGATGTTGAGCATCTTTTCACGTGCTTATTGGCCATTGTAGATCTTCTTTGGAGAAATGTCTATTCGAATCCTTTGTCCATTTTTAAATTGAGCTATTTGTCTTTTTTTTTTATCCTCGCCCGAGGACATTTTTCCATTTTTTGTTCAGATAGAGTGGGAGGGAGAGAGAGAGAGAGAAACATCAACGTGAAAGGGACACATCGAGTGGTTGCCACCTGCACAACCCAGCCAGGGCTGGGAACAAACTGCAACCGAGGTACGTGCCCTTGGCGGGAACCGAACCCAGGTCTCTCCAGACTGCAGGCCGATGTTCTAACCGCTGAGCCAAACCAGCCAGGGCTTCTTTTTTTAGCTATTTGTCTTTTTATTGCATAGTACTAAGAGTTCTTTATATAGTCTGGATACTAGATCTTTATCAAATATAGGATTTCAAATATCTTCTCCCGTTTTGTTGCATTGTCTTTTAACTTTTTTGATATATAAAATGTCTTTAATTTTGCCCTGGCCAGTTTGGCTCAGGGGTAGAGCGTCAGTCCACAGACCAGTGAGTCTTGGGTTTGATTCCAGCCAAGGGCATGTACCTAGGTTGCAGTTCGTCCCCGGCCCTGGTTGGGGTTGTGCAGGAGGCAACCAGTCAATGTGTCCCTCTCACATCGATGTTCCTTTCCCTCTCCCTCTCTCTCTCTCCCACTCTATCTGAAGATAAATAGAAAAGTAATATCCTCAGGTGAGGATTAAAAAAAAAAGTCTTTAATTTTGATGAAGTTCAATTTATCTATTTTTCCTTGGTTTCTTATATTTTAGGTATCATATCTAAGAAATCATTGCCCAATCTGAGAAAAGGAAGATTTACACCTATGTTTTTTCTAAGAATTCTATAGTTTTAGTACTTACATTTAGGCATTTAATCCATTTTGAGTTATTTTTTTGTACATGGTGTGAGGTAGGGGGTCTAAATTTTATTGTTTTGCATATGGATATCTGCAAAACTATCATTTTTGAAACAATTGTTTTCTTAATTGACTGATCTTGGCACCCTTGTCAGAAATCAATTGACCATAGATGTATGGGCTTATTTCTGGACTTTCCATTCTATTCTATTAATATATATCTATCTATCCTTTTAAATAAAAGAAGGTGCTTTTTAAAACATTTTTTTATGTTTATTGATTTTTGAGAGACAGGAAGGGAGAGAGAGAGAGAAACATCAATGTGAGAAACATTGACTGATTGCCTCCTGACTGGGGATCAAACCTGCAACCTGGGTATGTGCCCCAACCAGGAACATCATTTGGTTTACCAGATGATGTTCCAACTGACTAATCCACACTAGCCAGGGCTATGCTGTAAGTCTATTCTTATGCCCATATCACACTGTCTTAATTACTGTAACTGAAAAAAAATTTTTTTTGAGAGTACATTTATTAAAGCTGGAGAACATTGAAGCAAAGGAAGGGCTTAGGGTAGAAGAGCAACAGGAGAAGGCCTCGGCGGTGCTCTGCTTTGGCTCCAGAAAAATAATAGGAAAGAAGCCAAGGCAGAGCTGCTGTGAGCGCACTGAAAAGTCAGAGAAAAGGGGGCTTGGAGACAGGTTCAGGGGGTAAGTTTGCAAAGAATTGCCACTACCTGCTGCTCCCCTGGTTGCAAATCTCATGGGATCCTTAGAGCTTAGGAGAGAAAAGTAAAGATGCTTGCCTGATAGGGAAGAAAGGCTTGGATGTGCTTCAGAGAGAGCCCACGTGATCACTATAGCTTAGAGGTATGTTTTGAAATTGAGAATTGTGACCCCTCCAACTTCCTTTGTTCAGGATTGTTTTGGCTATTCCATGTTCCTTGCTTTTTTATGTGAGTTTTAGGATCAGTTTTCTGTTTCTGCAATAAAGGTAATTGGGATTCATAAATCTACTTCACATCAAACTTCTCCATGAGGACTAGCAACTTGTCTAACTTGGTCACTATTGTATCAACACAAGTATCGCTCAGCACAAGGCCTGACCCAGAGTGGGCTCTCAAAATCTAGTGAATAAATTAAAAAATTAAAAAAGTTCAGTTTAAAAATGAACAATAATGTGTACCCAAGTCAAAAAATAACAGTGTAATATTATTATGCCTCAAAAGTCATCTGTGTGTCTCTCCCTGGCCACTCTGTGTCTCATTACTTCATTAATAAACTCTTCCCTTTAAACTCTGAAAACAAGCAAACAAACAAACAAACAAACAACTGTGTATCTATCCCTAAACAATACATTGATTACTTTTGCCTATTTTTTAACTTGCATGTAATTGAAGTCATATTGTAT